ATCACAGGTGGGAAATGCCGTGCCAGCTCCACAGTGGCATCTATTGGGTAGGATAAAGTGACCAGACGTCCCGCTTTTGGCGGGACAGTCCCGATTTTAAACAATTTGTCCCGCGTCCCACAAATTGTTAAAATTCGAGACTGTCCCGCCAAAAGGGGGACGTACCTTAATCTAGGACCCAAGCTTTGCCTCCTCTTCTGGTCCTCCTCCCCAGCGTGGGAGCTCTGAGCCCTCCACTGTGGCCCAGGGGTTGCCATCACCACAGCCCTCTCGTCCTCTCACAGCTGCAGGTGGCCCAGGAGGAGGGGCTCTCCCTCTAGTGATGAGGGAAGGCCTTTATGGACTTTGCCTGTGTCTCAATGGCAAGAAGTGGGTCCTGTGCCCACTGCTGGCTACAAGGGAAGCTGGTAAAGGGGATGCCCGGAGAAATTCAAGCCAAGATAAACATGGGCATCACCCATGTTCAAGGGCCCCACACTGCCAGGACAATCACAAGTCATGCCCGTGGACTGGGAATAGTGAGGCCAAACAAAACTGAGATTTCCTCATGAGCAAGAAGAGTTGCCGTTGAGGAAAAGTCAGTGGGGAGAAGTTGGGGTCTTCCCCCCATTTTCCTTTCTTACAGAGGATGAGGACGTGAAGCTGAGTGGGGCAGGGACCTGCCCAATGTCCAAGGACAAGCACAGAGCCTGTGGACAGAGAGAGCTGCAGCCCGGGCCGACAGATCCAGCCTAACATCCCTGGCAGCATGCCCTGTGGACCTCGGACTTGCCTGGCCAGCACCACACACACACAAGCCAATCTGAGCAATCAACCTCCTAATACACATCTCCTGGGTGAGGGAACCCAGACTCACCCACCAGGTGGTTTTAATACGCTGCTCAGGCAGAGAACCAGGGAGTTCCTCAGTCATGGTTAAGCCAAAGGGCATCAGAATAAAACAGCCACGGTCAACTCCCATCTCTTCCACCTATCCCTCCGTGGCTGCAGGCCTCAGCTGAAAAGTGGGTTTCACAGTATCTGCCGCAGAGTCACGGTGCGAAGGTCAAACGCTCTCGTGGATGTAAAATTCAGGGGGCATCTGGACTGAATGGTGGCCACTGCTCTGACAGTGTCGGGCTAACCTGGGCCACGGCAATGAAATGCCACGAAACAAACACAAAAACCAGCAAAAGCAATGAGCCCAGTTTCCCACCTCGCTGCGAGGCATCTCAGGTTTAGGTCTTTGTTTTAGGGCCATGGAAACCCTCTCTTCCCTCCAGCTTGCTCCTGACAAGCAGCAGGGCACCTGGGCCCTCAGTGACCCCCACCACCCCTGGACAGCAAAAGGTCAACCTAAACGCTCTGGTGTTTAAAGGAGTAGCAAGGCAGGGAGCCAGGAGCTCCTTGATGCTTAAGAAAGCGGATTTTGTAAGTCCTACTGGTCACCCGTCAGTATGCTCCCATGGCGTTTCAATCAGCGCTTTTGGCTGCAAGGCTCTAGGTCTCGCTAGTCACTTTGGGAATTAGGCCCGCCCTGCTCTCCCTCCCGCCGCCTCGTCTCGTTTGGGGGCTGGCCGCGCCCTCTGCTCCCCCAGGCTGTGCAGGGTGACTGGGAGGGGATGGGGGACACTTTTCCTACCTCGGAAATGCATCCTCTCCTCTCCCTCCCGCAAGCGGCAGGTTAGGCCTTCAATCCGGTGCAGCAGTGCCCTCTGGTGCTCACAGGCTGCAGCAACTCCTCCCTCAGCAAGTCCGTGTCTGCTGGAAGCAGCTCTGGGAAGCTCTGGCCTGCTCTGGTTCCCTCTTAGGCACAGATGCTGACGCTCCAGTGGTGCCCTGTGTGACAGAGTCTGCCTCTTTATCACTCACTCTGTCACTAGCCATCTGAGTATGACCTCAGCAGCTCCTGCTACGTCTCTGGGTCTCTATTTCTCACCTATAAACGGAGAGGATTAAACTAGATCATCTCCAGCTTTAATATTCAGGATTTGTTGTGGTCCAGAGAGAATAATTCATTCAACAAGTACTAAGTGTCCGTCAAGTGTAGAGATTCAGGCTCATCAGAGAGCAAACCTGTGCATTCCTGGAACTTTAAATTGCAGCAGGAGGAAATAGTTAATAAGCAATAAACACAACACAAGCAAGAAGGGCCTCCTGTCGCCTCCCCCCAAGGGGTTCAATCTGGATTCTTCCCAGGGGTGCACTGCCTTGGGTTGCTTTGATGAAGGAATCTGCTTCTAGAGCAATTCAGTCCTAAAACTGACCTGCCCGAGGATCATGCTGCTGTTGTGCCTTTCCCATCTCTCCGTTCACCAACGGCCTTCTCCCACTCCACACACAAGCACCCATCTAAACGGCTTGGGAAATGCTGGGCTGCAAGCAATTAGGCAAACTTCAAACAGCGGGTGTGGCAACAGCTAACCCAAGGCTGGAGAAGGCAGCCCATCCCCACCACCCGTCAAACGACAGGCCTTTCCAATAACACTTTCATTTTTATCTTTTATCATTGTCTATCAAAATGATGGTATGCCTTTATATATTAATAAATTGATCGCTAATAATCACAGTAAGGGTAATTAAACCTGGATTTCTTTTTACAAATAGACCCTAGTGATCAAAAGAAATTAAACTTTAATTAAAAAAAAACAATATTAGAGAGGACTGTGATAAGATGATCAAAATACACTCATAAAGATACATTGCATGGAAATAAAAGTGGAGGAAGTAGAATTGATGGAGGGTTTCAAGGAGGAAAGAATACAATTTTTAAATTGTTCTTGTGTGCTTTCTGTGGACAATGGTAGTTATTAAGTGGCCATGGGACTTATTTCCCACTGGAGATACATGTTTTAAAGTAATGCTGCAGTCTTACTTTAAAATGTAAATATTTATAGTAAACTAGAAATGTATAATCTTGCAACTATTCCCTCATGAATCAAAACTTTTGGAGGGCAATTTTAAAATATGCGAGGGAGTCCCTCTTTCTGGAATATTACTATAGGAGTACATGAGCAGAAATGTTTGCTGCCATCAGCATAAGGAATTAAAGGCAAAGTTGAACAAGCCTTGGCAAGGACAGGAAGGCATAAGGCACCTCGGTGTCTGAGCATCGTGGACTTGGGTGTCGCCACCATCAACATGGTTCAGCACCATCTGATGTGCCTGACCTTCAGCTCAGAGCTCCATTCTGGGCAAAGGGAACCCGAACGGCCCTATGTAAGTTGTACTCAGTTCAGAGGGGGCTGCGGGACACCATGACTGAAGGTTGCACCCGGATCCCTTGAAATGCAGCAGGAGGGGGGAGGGGGGGGGAAGATTCCCCCTAAGGAATCATTATGATTATCCAAAAAGAGGAGGGGAATTTGGGAGTGAGCACCCCTCCTCCAGGAAAGGGCAGCAACAGCCACTGCAAACCCATGTTCAAAGGGAAGCTGCAGAGAAGTGAGAAAATACATGCTGGGTGAGGGGGGGGGGGGGGGTGTGAGGATGTCCCAGAGCACAGGGAGAAGGATTAGACAGATGGGGGGACAACTCTTTTGCCATGGCTGAAGCAAGGAGGAAGGACAGGTGTGGGTGCAAAGAATGTGCAGATGGCTGAAAGGAGACCCAGGGGGAGGCCCAGTGATGGTTCCAATGCTTCTCTTTAGTGGGGGCAGATAAAGCCACTCGAGATAGGGCCAGGTGGGTCAGGAGCTAGGGGATGCAAGAAATAGTTTCTCGTGTTTCTTAAGTCTGTGTTTTTTAAGAATCTAATGCTCTTAGCACATAGGCACACCGTTATAATCTTGAGGCATTCAGATCTGATGTGCACTAACCAGGAGGCAGATGCTCAATGCAGGAGCTGCCCCCTGGTGGTCAGTGTGCTCCCACAGGGGTAGCGCCACTCAGCCAGAAGCCAGGCTCACAGCTGGTGAGCACAGTGGGACCCTCCCATGGGGAGCGGGTCTAAGCAGGCAGGTGGACATCTCCCAAGGGTTACAGAACTGTGAGAGGGTGCAAGCCGGGCAGAGGGACCTCTCACTCCTCCCAGTGCATGAATGTCATACACCAGGTCTCTAGTTTATAAATAAAACATACTGTCATGGTAAAACTTCCTTTAATGAAACCCACCAATGGATTTCAATTATTCTATCAAACTTTAAGATACACATAATCTTAACACAGCCTTTTCAGACGCTAAGTATAAGGATATTCCTGGCAGCTTTTTTTATAACAGCAAAAACTTGTCAGAGTACTGGTTAAATAAAGTATCCGCATATGGAATATTACGCAGCCATTAAGAGAATTAGGGGTATTGTCATGGAAGACATCCAAGATAGACTGAATTTAAAAGCAGGGTAAAGAAGTGTGAAGAACATGACATCATATGAAGTTATATTTGCAAGTACATAGAGCATTTCTGAAAAGGTGAGTGAATCCTGGTTATAACTTACCTTTAGTGGGAGAAATGGGTGGACTGGGGAAAAGGCAAGGGTGATTTTTGTTTTGTTTTCTCTCAGCAGCGTGCATCACCTATTCAGTTTTCTATTAAACACACTCCCTCCTCACACAAAATATGTATATGCCAATTGTGGTACATCCATGTTGAAAAGGACTTTTGTGTAGTTAATTTCTAGAATATCCCAATGTAGATTTATTTATTTGTTTATTTATTTAGTCAATAGCAAGCTTGGGTTTTGCTAACTGTGTGAAACTGGACATATCAACCACCTATGTAGCCTCAGAACTCCTCATCTAAAAATGATGGCCTTAGACTTCCCATCAATGAATGCCTTCCACCAATCTCTTCATGGTGTAAGATGCTGTGATTATACAATTTGACTTGGCAACATGTGAAAAAAAATTGCAATACATTGGCAAAGAGAATTGGTGTGTGTCAGACAGTGAGGGGTGTATGGCAGCAGTGATTATGCACAGTTACTATTATTTTTATGTCTTCTATCTTAAACCACACTTTACAAATTCCTTTTCTCTTCCATTCCTATTTGAAACACCCAAGGAACAACCAAAGAGGCGTATTCAACTGAAGAAATTTATTTACTTTTTTTTTTCTAGGTACATAGATGACAATTATAGACAAGTTTTGATACATAGGAAAACCCTTTCCGTCCTTTCTCTTTGCTAAATGAATTGTCACAATAATTTTTTTTTTTACAATTTTTAAAACAATAACACAGCTTTCTTGGGCTGAAGCAATCGCGAAAACATACTGGTACTGGTATATTACAGCTACTTACAATGTTTAAAAACAGCAATGGAGAAAAATAAGTTATTTAAATACTGATTTCATATACAGAAAGTGCAATGTTGTTAGTTGTTATATAACTTGCTTGACAGCTTCTTGTTTTCTCTATCAATTTAAAAATCAAGGAAACGCGGACTCGGACGACCAGGTTTGTTTTTCTGTAACGAGCACAGTACCCACAGGCAGCAGGGACTTGGTGAGCTGCCTCCCTTGGCTGCTGGCATGGAAGCACACTCTGCTAAATCGGGAACGGATTACCAATACCCCAGTGGTTTCCCCTGTCACCGCCCCCAGTGCGGGTGGAAGGAAAGGGCCTCTGGCTAAGAAGGCAGGCCCTACACACCTCTCTCCTGCTCGGCTACATGGGAGTGTCAGGAGTGGCCTGGGTTGGCTGCATCTCCTCCTAGACAGCTTCCAAGTGAAAATGTACACCACGGATGTGTAGCTGCCTGAGCCTAACTGTCTTTCCAGGTTTCTCTTGTGCCTTCCCAAGACCGTTTCCACCGATTCCTCAGCCTCCTGTGCCGAGGGCAACTGAGTAAACCTGGATATTGCTGACACCGACCGCCTGCCTCCCACCACCTGCGGGCGGCCCCACACCACCTCGGTCAAATGTCACCACAAACACAGAGGCTTTTTTTTTTTTTCTTTTCTTTTTTCTTCTAGGATCAAGTTAAGAGTTTAAAGCAAAAGAAGACCCAACAAATACTAACGATAAAAAAAAAAAAAAAAAAAAGATTTTAAAAAAGCACAATCAAGTAAAAACCACCTCAGAACTTTAAGATTAGGAAGACCTTCCCACCGACAACAACTCGTGGTCCCTGAATTTGAAGTTTGTATGCAAAGGCCATGGATTCCGAGGAAGAGTGACAAAAGCACGGTTTGGCATTCTCAAAAGCTCAAGCTCAGAAAATTCCCTTTTCTTAAATGAAAACGTTGCAGTGAAAATGAATCCAAATGTGGGAATTCATACAAGATTTCTCCTTCCCCTGTTACCTGATTTATGGGTGGTCCTTTTGCTCAGCTTTAAATACGAGCAGGGCCCCTTACATGTCCTGCTGAGCTTCCAGCACACACAGGGGAGGGGCCGTCTTAGCCCCGCCTCCACCACGTGGTCACAGGAGAACCGCAGCCGCCTTACTTCCCAGATGGGCTATGATAGTAGTCGGCAAACTGCGGCTTGTGAGCCACATGTGGCTCTTTGGCCCCTTGAGTGTGGCTCTTGCAGTGCGAATGAAACTTCGTGGCCCATGCAAAGGAGTCTGTTTTCAGCTCTCAAAAGAAATTTAAATCGTTGTACTGTTGATATTTGGCTCTGCTGACTAATGAGTTTGCCGACCCCTGGGCTATGCTTACTGGGATTTCACATCCCAAGGTGATGGGAACGGGCTGTTTTAAGAGTGCCACAGACATTCGACAGCTTTCGCTTTCTTATTTTAGAACTCCACAACTTCTTCACATGGCATCCTACAGAAGGTATCACGGAAGCATGTGCATTATTTTTAAAAATGCATACCGAAGCATGAACTATACATACATCACCTGAGAACAACATTCTTTCCTCCGATACATGATTTAAATAGATAAAGCAAACACTGAAGATGGCTTTGTGATGAAGGAAATCCCTGTTTTCCCTCCTGAGGGAAATCATTTATCTTAGTGAGCAGGTGAAATATCACAGAACTTTGGGTCAGAGTTTTGTGTTGAATTTGTATAGTAAATAATCACATCCAATGCTTAACAGCACAGTGCTCACGGTAAGAACGTAAAGCAAAGTCATCTTGTAACAATGGAAACCTTATCCGTGCCTACATTTCTGCTGGCTGGAAAATCAGGCACGAAGACTAAGGGAGGATAGAATGGGCTGATATCAGTTCGAAACAACCGAACAAAACAAGCAAATCTGCGGCCTATGTGGTATGTCTGGCTCCAAAATGAACCTCTATTTGAATTAAAAGAATTATCTAAAGAAGAAGGAAAACAAAATCTTAATGGTAAAAAGGGAATGGGGGGGGGGGAGCTTTAAAAACATCTCAGACTACTTCCCGTTTCCAGAACATCTCTCTGAAACCAGCCTGATCTGATGACCGAGTTTTGGGATGGACCTGGCCAGGAGTCCAAGCCAATATGGCAGCAAAGTGACCAACAGGGTAATGTCCTACACTGATTAAAACGAAAGGTGGTTCCAGAAGCACACACCCCCACACACACTCACATATACACACATGGTCTCTTTGTGAATTCCAGAGAGTTTTTCACTAGATTTGTAGCTCATTTAAAAACTGAAAGCCAACGTGACATTTGTGCCAGGGAAACAATCCTACAAAATAAGCCACGGAAGAGGCGATCATCAGAAAAGCCCATTTTTTTTTTGCTGGGAAAGTCCCAGATGTTAGACGGCAGTCTAAGCCGAAGACTTGGAACTATGGTTACAGGGCAGTGAGCACTAGGTTAGATAACTGCTTGGAAGCGTACATTAAGGCAAATAAAAGCGGACTGCTGGAAAGCAATTATTACAATGTCTCGTTTATCTGAAGGAGAACAGGACTTCTTTTCCTCTTAGTGCAGACAGGTTTTCTTACTTTTGAACTAACGAGCATGTCCACCGATGTACAATCACTCCCGAGTCTGTGACTTTGGCCTAGCTGGCTGAGCCTGTCGGGCCCTCGGGGCTCCTGTGGGGTCACAGACAGAAGGTCGACGGCAGCACCGTGAGACCCAGAACTGGCTGCCCCTCCCTCTGCCCTCAGCCCTCTCCCCCAGCGCACCCACAGACCGGAGGCACAGCATGTGTGGCGAGTTGGCATCTTGCTTCTGGCCTGTTCTGAAAATAAAAACAAGTGCTCCTCTTTTCTTTGGGGGTGGAGGGGGGGTCAAAGAGAAGCACCCCTGTGCTTCCTCAAAGGGGCTTTCCTGGAGAAGACAGGGTCATCGGTCCCGAGCCAAGGTGTCGAGCTCCATCAGGCCATACGCTGGGCCCTTCTTCTGGATCTGGTCTGCACGTCCAGGGAAGAAGAAGTTGCATCAGCGTCGTAAGCACAGTGAGAGGGTGGCTCCGGCCAGGCGGTCCCCCGCGGGCCTGGCTACATGGCCTCGGGGCCGGGCGGCAGCTTGAAGAGTCTGGCCGCGGACACGAGCTTGCTTATGTGTCTCTCCTCGGTGATGCCCGCCTCCTGCAGGCAGGTGTGGGACAGAGAAGGCACGTGGCCCAGCGTACAGAAGCCCGCCTCGGCGAGGGCGCCGGTGTACATGGGCAGGCCGATGGAGATCAGCCAATCCGACACGGACGCCACGCATCCCGGGGAGAGGGGCTTCCTGCAGATCTCGGTGAGCCCGCCGCTGGGGATCTGGGTGAAGGAAGAAAACGGGTTTTAGAAAAGACTCCACAGGGGCCACAGGAGGGCTAAGAGGAACACTGCTAAGAGGAACACTGCTAACCTACAACACTGCTGTACTACCAGCAAGAGATGATGCTCTCTGTCAAAACCCAACGGGCATAAAGAATCTTGTCTGGATTTTTCAGAGGGGAGACACATTTTCAAGGAAGTAAGTTGAGGCTCTAGAACAGTGGTTCTCAACCTTTCTAATGCCACGACCCTTTAATACAGTTCCTCATGTTGTGGTGACCCCCAACCATAAAATTATTATCGTTGCTACTTCATAACTGTAATTTCGCTACTGTTATGAATCGTAATGTAAACATCTGTGTTTTCCGATGGTCTTAGACGACCCTGCTAGCGACCACAGGTTGAGAAACCACTTCTGTAGAGCCAAAGATCATTGGAAAAATTTACATTACGATTCATTAACAGTAGCAAAATTACAGCTATGAAGTAGCAACGAAAATAATTTTATGGTTGGGGGTCACTACAACATGAGGAACTGTATTAAAGGGTTGCGGCATTAGAAAGGTTGACAATCACTGCTCTAGAAGGTACGTGGAATTAGATCTAGCCTTAAACTCTCCACACTCCGAGCATTTGCATTTCTGGCTGCTGTATCTTGGGGTGACCCGTTCTTTGGGGAGAGATCCCCCTGGTGACTGAAGAGGTGGGCCGTCCTGTGCAACAGGGTGACAAGTAAAATGCTCATGGTTGTGTGCTTATCAAATAGATGTTCCACTGCAATCGAATCTACAGGAACAGCTACAAGATTAAAGGCTTATCAATACTGTTATAAAGAATCTAAGATACAATAAGAACGAGTATTAGGACGGGAAAACGGACTTGGGGGAAGACCAAGGGCTAGACCTTACAAAAGGTAATGGACTACCCCGTGTGCACACCCTGAGACCGGGTGTCCTTCTCCAGGAAGCAAACCCTTTCAAGTAATGTCTCCTCAGAAATTAACCTTTGATGTCTACAAAGAATGGTTTTTACTACGTTACTGGGGGGGAAATGTGGAGAAAACCTAAATGTTTCTCCCATACAGACTGGCTAAGCTACAGCACATTCCCCTACTATTGTAGAACACTTTGCAGTATTGCTGACATGAAAGCACTCCAATGCAGTTTTGAAACCTGACTGTTTTCAGTTGTCAGGGAGTGAGTCTAGTTCTCTTATTGTGTCATCATTAAGCTCTATCACTACACGGACTCCAAAAGCGGGGAGAGGGGCCCCGCAGAGCACCCGCGGCCGCTCACCGCCATGCGGTGCTGCTTGCGAAGCAGCTTCACGCGGATCTGGTCCATGTTGGCGGCGACGTCCCTCTCGGGCTGGTCCAGGTCCTCTGCGTATCTCTGCACCAGGGCCTCGGGGATCCCGCAGCGGCCGTGCTGCGAGGGGAACAGAAATGTGGTGTCAGGGTGGTCGCAGGCATCTTGCTTTCTCCAAGGACAGCAACAGAAGGCAGGTTAGGACACCTAGCTACGCCTGGGAAACAGCACAGGAAGTGTTCATTGGAAGGGAACACATTTTTCTCTACAGCCAACGTGTCTTAGAGGGAATACTGTTACACCTTCATCTTTCAGGTAGTAATGAGCTCTAGAAATGTTTTGAAACATAATTAAAGCAGAACACAATCATCCTACACTTGGAGGGCCAATGCCCTCACCTCACTCTATCTGATCATTTTGCAAAATGTTATTGAAAACCGTCTCCTGAGCTGCAGGGTGAAGGGCAGCCTTCTGCTCTGCCATAGCCTCTTGCTGCGCCTTGCCAAGACTTATACCGCAGGCTGGCCCGGGGACCCAATTGGTTATAGCATCGTCCCAAAGGGGGTAATTCACTAGACATTACGGACAAGGAGGATGTTATGTGGTCACGACAGTTTTATTACAAGGATGCCACGACTGCATCCTATTGTACCAGAGCTTGCATTTCCCTGAGCAACGTCTGGCTACATCTGTTCTCATCTGTCTTCAAAGTCATCGTGGTCTTGGTAGACCATCTTCATTTGTTTCAAATGAGAAATGAGTTTTCATTATAAAGTTCCATGTTCTTGGAACAATGCAATTTCATATCTTTTCCCCCGTTATCCATACCAGATGATATGCAATAAAATTATTACATCTGAATAGGGTTCTATAATTTTCAAAGTATGTTCACATTTATTTTATTTGTTCCTAATAACATCTCTAAGAGGTAGTTATGTAGGTTATTATCAATTCTGTTTTACAAATAGGAAAATGAAATGAGGGATTTTTAATGTCTAAAAACATACATGTTGAGTTAAGGCAGGAAAACTGGGACTCAGCTCTGTCCTGCCCTCTAAACCAGTGGTCGGCAAACTCATTAGTCAACAGAGCCAAATATCAACAGTACAATGATTGAAATTTCTTTTGAGAGCCAGATTTTTTAAACGTAAACTTCTTCTAACACCACTTCTTCAAAATAGCCTCGCCCAGGCTGTGATATTTTGTGGAAGAGCCACACTCAAGGGGCCAAAGAGCCGCATGTGGCTTTCGAGCCACAGTTTGCCCAACCACGGCTCTAAACCAAGCCTTTCAGAAAGCAGTACTGATTGACTGTTCTCTCTGCAATGTTCAGCTGCCAAAAATAAAAATCAAACAGGCAAAAGAAAAAAAGAGAAAGGAAAAGACCACCCACGGCTGTATTTGCACTTAATCTGGACACTCTGCCCCCACCATGCCACCACCGAGCTGCAGAGGCCCCTGCTGCCGGCCACCCCGCGCTCTGTCAGAACGGCCCCCGCCTCCGGGCTGGCCTCCTGGGTCAGCCGGTGCTCCTCTCGCCTGACTGCCTGACTACAAAAGCGGAGGCCAGTGACATGGGGCCGGGGCCGTGGGTACCTTATCGGAATAGGGCTCCTCGGTGAGGTCGATGCCTTCAGCTCGTAACTTGTCTTCAGTGAGCATCTCCAGGTCCACTCCCCGAGCGCAGGAGATCTTCCTGGCCCCGGCCGGGCCCAGCCTCACGCCGTGCTCCTGCAGGCTGGCGCTCTCCCGCAGCTCGGAGAGCCAGGGCGGGGGCCGCGGGCTCGGTGGGCTGCCGGGCTCCTGTCTGGAGGGCGGCTGGGGGGCCTGGGGAGAGGCACAGCCGCCGGAGCCGCCGGAGCCCCCCTTCTTTAGGGGCAGGCTCGGGGCGCCGGGGCCCGGAGGGCAGGGGTGGAGGCCGTTGGCCAGGCGCTCTTTGCTCTTCTTGGCAGGAACGGGCGGGGGCTGCGTGGGATGTCTGCCTGGCGCCGTGGCCTCGGGGCCCCTCTGCTCACCCTCTTTGGCGTTCGGGGGCTGACAGGTCCCTTCGGGATCAAGTCCTTTTCTGTGACCCTCGAGAGGAGTCCTTGTGAAGCCGTGCCTGGGAGGCTGAGCGTCCTGGCTCTGGGGCAAACACGGAGGAGGTGACAAGCCACTGGAAGCGGCTGCCATGGAGCCGCCCAGTTTCTTAGTAGTCGTTTTCTGAGGGTCAAGACACCTCTTGCTTTGGGTCAGTAGCAACGCATTGTCAACAGCAGACTCTCCCCGGGGGCCGTGAGCCTTGGCGACGGAGGGGGCTGTCTTCTGTGGCACTTCGGGTACGGTCTGGGGGCAGGGTTCGGTCACCGCGCCAGGCACATCGTTGTCAGCGTCGGGCTCTCCTTGGAGGTCATCCAGGGACTGGGAGCGGGGCCAGGTCTTCACGGGCTGGGGGCCCTCCAGGGTCTCACAGCTCCGGCAGATGGAGCCGGGGAGGCTCCTCCGGTTTTTATTCAAGCCGGTCACACAGGGCGGCTCACAGTCCTTCAGAGGGTGCGGGCTCAGGCCGCTGCCCAGCCTGCCCTCCACCCCCTGCTTCAGGGCGCCCGCCGCCTTGGGCAGCGGCAGCGTGGGGAAGGGGCCCAGCTGACTCCTGCCGAAGGACTTCAAGCTGGACTCGGCGGAGGACTTGGCAGAGAGAAGACCAGACTTCCGAGACTTGCCTGCGAGACAAGGAAGTGGGTTACAATCCCGTCTTAAAAGGTGAATCAAGCAGACATCTACAGGTGTGCTAGCATAATTCTCCAACGCCTGCATCCCAGGGTGGGATTCCATACACTCAGGGCAGACAAGCACCATTCCTGATGTGATGATGAGTGGTAAAAGGGTCACTATGGTCTCGTTTTTATGTTGAGAAAAAATTCCTAGTCTTATGAAAGGACTTAGGGAGATGGAAACTAATGGAGTTACGTGGGAAGGAAATGTGCTGTGTCGGGCAACACAGGAAGTCTGTTCCCAGCTGCAATCCGTGTGGAAGAGGCTGACCATCCACAACCCACTAAGGAACCACACGGTCGGGACTTCCGTCTAGACCAGTGGTTCTCAACCTTTCTAATGCCGCGACCCTTTAATACATTCCTCACGTTGTGGTGACCCCCAACCACAAGTAACATCTGCGTTTTCTGATGGTCTTAGGTGACCCTGCTAGTGGTTCTCAACCTGTGGGTCATGTCCTACAGGTTGAGAACCGCTGCTGTAAAGCCTAAGACCATCTGAAAATGCGGATGTTTACATTACGATTCACTAACAGTAGCAACATTACAGTTATGAAGTAGCAACGAAAATAATTTTATGATTGGGGGTCACCACAACATGAGGAACTTTATTAAAGGGTTGCGGCATTAGAAAGGTTGAGAACCACTCGTCTAGTGAGCATCGATCCCTAAGGTCACGGTGGCAGGGGGGGCAGTAGTTCATAAAGGGTACTGACCCCTAAGGTTCACCACGGACTTCTCAAATCACACCTTCCTCCACAGCCTCCCCTCTTTGTGGTTTGCGTCAGAAATAAATTAATCCTAGAAGCAGCCAACCAACCACGGTGCAAATAAGCAAACAAGCTTAAGAGAGTATTTTGCCTGAGACAATCTATAAAATATTGACAGGGTTCTAATTCTCAGTGAAACAATGGCCCTCATCAAAACAAACTGTCAGACTATTAACTGGACTATCAACCAGACGTAATCTACTTATTTGGCAATTGTTGACTGATATTAGCCGCTAAGCCACACTGTGAATGTACTAGCGAAGGGTCAGGCACTATGCTAAATGCTTAGCTTTCATCAATATCTATCCATCTCTCTCTTCCTCTCACTGTCCTTTGTCACATTTTTGGTTAATACCATGCTAGTTGTATGCATTGACCCTGGGCTGATAAAACATGAGCCAAGAGATAACTTCTAGGAATTAACCAGCCCATGGGGAGGGCTGGCCCAATGGTGCCGTGTGGGGACCATAACTCTGAGCCACAGCCAAGCTCTCTGAAGGAGGAGGAAGGAAGGACCTTATTAGAGGTGGGTAGTTGTATTCTGATCAGAAACTTTGAGATTTTTGAAAGACAAAATACAATATTTTAAGATGTAATTGTAGACCTTTTATTGTCAGAGACCTAGTTTGGATGAAGTCTGCCTTTTCACTTAATTTTAGTACTAATTAGATGTTTTCATACTGTAATCGTTGATAGACCCCCACAGAACCCGTCTTTTCAGTGAAGGAGTCCCTGTAACTGTGATCCCGGAGCTAACATGACAACACTAAGGGCTGCTCTCCTTGCGCTTCCTATGTACCAAAGAAGAAACACTGAGGCGAGAGATGGGGATGGGGCTGAAGGAGCCACACCTCACGCCCTGGCTTGGCATCATCCTCTCAGAGGGGTTCCTCAAAATCCTCATGTTGAAATGAGAGGCCCCTCCATGATAGCCCCAAGCACTGAGATATTCTTGCTCCACAGAATAAATACGCAAACACATATGCAAAGAGGTCCCCCGTGGTATGTTATGTCTTTAACTTTGTTTAAAAATAGGCCCACTTATTTTAACCCATCCCTGGTTTATGAAGGCACTTACTATAACAAATACAAACTGCATGCCTTTCTGGCTTACAGTTCAATGAAGCCCAGACACCGCTGGCCAATGTATGATGACACTAAGTAGAGGACGGACTTGAAAATGCTCATGGTATTGGGAAATAAGGTCTGAAATATTGCCTGAGAGTCTATTGTGAGCCAGCGTAGAAAAGAACAATAGCTTCAGGTATCATATAACCTCTCTGAGCTTTAAAGTCTCCATCCATACCATATGCCTTGCAGGGTTTGAGTGATAATTAGTAATCCACATATAAGCACCTAGCCCATTGCCCATTTCCCAGTCAGTGTTGAATGAATGCTGGATACTATTAACATATTACTGCTTTGCTGAAGCCCTACAACAATCTAGGAAAGAGAAACTCCTCTTGCATTTCAGAAGCAAGAGGGCTCAAAGACATGAAGGAAAGATCAATGTCTTCAGCTCACAAATGTTCTGTTCAGGCTTCAAACCCCAGGTCTCCTCACTTTGAACCTCACCGCTCTTCCCAGGACTGACACTGAGTGCTAAGATTCTAGGAGTTCCAGGATAATGGGAAGTGAAGGGTCTTTTTCCTGAACTCTCCATTTGTGTCCTAGGAGGGCCAGAAGGCTAACCGACAGGAAAAGGGATGCAGTCATTTCTTAAGAACATCAGTTGCCTGGGTTCTTGAAGGGTGTTTATTCTCCCTGAGGATCTTCATTAAACACCAATAATCCTGGAAAATGCCCTCCTTCTACTGCCTGTATGTCCCCAAAGCTCAGACAGAGGAAGACAGACAGTCATTAGCCGAAACACATGGCGGGGCCTCCGGGGTGGTCTGTGCTGACATTACCGTTTTCCAGGTTCTCACTGCTTTCGTAGCATCCCGAGTCCCGTGGGGAGCACCCGCTCAAGGCCTGGCTATCAACGAGCAGCTTCTCCTGGGATCCAGACTGGTCGCTGTTACCTGGAACAGGTGAGACGGAGCATGGAACCATAAGCGGAAAAAAAAGCAGAGCTCCCCAGTCAACCAAGTCCCAGTTTTATCATCAGTCATCACCACGCGTACCGTACATTTTTAAGCCTTTGACTTCTGGAAGAACACTAATTACTTTAAAGTCATAAAATGGACGAGATCAGAATATTTTTCTTCTCAAATAAATTATTCCCATGAAGACAATTCTGGAGATTGAGAGTAGATAGATGGAGTACATCGATGCTTTTTAGGTTACCCAGAGCAGGAGGAACCCAGAGCCTGTGCCAACCATGGGGAAAGACCAATCAGGGTCCTCTCCCAGGGATGGTCCCATGGAGCGGAAGTAAAGAGTGAGGACGACCCTCTCACAACAGCAGTTGGGCCTGTGCTTTTTAGAACTCTCTAAGATTTGTGTTTCAAGTTATTTGTCCCAAGCTTTCCAAATTTAGCAGCTATCATAAAAGTGTCAAATGAAATTGCGAATTTTGTTACAATTTACAGGCATCCTTTGGCCGTGGCAACATGTGCTGGCCCTTGCATCATCTCAATGAAGCAATGCGGGCAGAAGGGGACACAAACCCCTACACCCAGGAGGGGCCGGGGATAAATCCTTGTGCGTCTGTGGTGAGGACCGCGCTGGAGCGCGTTCTTTCCCTTCTGCCCCCTCCTTTGCGTTGGGTCAGCGTTTCTGTCCAAAGGATACAGCAGGGAGAGTTCAGGAAGCCCTCTCACTGGGGCCCCGAGTAATAAATACTCTGAAGGTGGGTGACGAGAGCTGAACGCCCTGATTCTGAAGAAAGGCAGCAGGTGCTTCTATGAGTGGAAGCCTGTCTAGAGCAAGTCCCCATGGAAGTCCCGTGGGCTTCACCAGCCAGCGGTCACTCTGCACGCTGCACAGTAAGGGCACACGTGGCCTGACCCGGGATGGAGCTACACCACGAACATTTTTTGTTTATTCTACAGAGTAAGTGCTTGGGCACCTAACGCAGAAACCAAAAGAACTAGTTGCATGATGAGCGGCTTTATGTTCCTTTCCTTTTCTCGTCACATGTCCTCCCCTCCTGCCACAGAGGCAGAGAAAGAAAGAAAGCAACACACCAGAAATCCGATGCCCTTTCTCGGGTCATTAAAAAAGTAAACTGTGGGAAGGCAGAATGGTTGCCATCCACATATGTGCCAGCGGCTTCTACGTCCACTTACCACTTCCTGTTTGTACTACTCACATGGAAAGCATTTTATAACAGCAATCTTAGCAGAAATCATGGCAAGGGAAGCCCTTAAAATAGACCCCCAAATTTTAAATAATTAATGAAAAATTAACTAATTGGATGCACAAGAGCGAATCTTACCCCTCCGCCACCTACACAAAAAGTGGAACATTCTAGAGTGATGAAATCATTGTGGAAGAGTCTGTGGACTTGGAGTGGTCTCTGTCCTAGCCCAGCATGTTATTTGGGAAAATGATACTTACAAAATGAGGGCTTTGAACTATCAGTTACAACCTAGGAAGAGGAAGCAATGTAGTCTGTCCTTGGCAAGGACAGTTACTGCTTCAGCTAAAACAGACCCCAAAGTGCTGACCAGTGGGAATTAAACAGAAAACATGTCCCCCGACACCACGTGATGACGCCGACGATATCTACATCCTTGGGGATGTCAGCCTCATCAGACACAGCAGGTACCTGACGTTACCATGGAGATGGGAGGGGAAGGGTTGCTCCCATCACCCGAACACCAGGTCAATGTGTAGAATCACGAGGCATATGTCAAGGGGCTGCTGTCACTTGCTCCCTAAAGGATTCAACTACTGAGCAGAAACCTAACTCTCAAGTTTAGCAAAATTCCCTTAAAAGGAAAAGCCAGCGTTTCCCAAGCAACTTGCCCTCCTCCACTGGAGAGAAAGAGGAGGTGGGGGCACCCCTAACAGTGCGGCAGAATCAAGGCCAAATCCTCTCCCTGCAGTTTCTAGAATTAATTTCAAGGCACAAAGAGGAAAAAAAGTGAGTTAGAACCAGGAGAATTCTCAGAGTCAAACAAGAGCGGAGGACTGCACGGTCGGGCTGACTCTGAACTTGCCCCTGAAGGGACTTTGATGGAGCTAAAACTCTTCCACACCCCAACTTTGACACACTCACACACACAGACACATACACACAGGAGGAGGAGGAATATGCTAAGACACGGATGAGTATCCAGACATCAGAAGGTTCTTGTGTACAAGGACATGAGCCATTTCCTGGAGAGCAGTTATTGCTGAAAGAAGAAAGGGAAGGGAAGGGAAGGGAATACTTGGGTAGCAGGCCTTTCAATGGACTTGTGACATTTATTTCTTTAAAAGAATCCAAGCAAAAATGTTCACTTTACTTGGTCTTAGAAGGTGGATATGTGGAACTGTTTTATTTTTCTCTGTACCTTTCTGCATATTTGAAAGAGCTGCTCATTAAAATTCTTATAGAAATTATTTTCGTAAAGAAGAGAGCTTTCTGGGGCAGCCCTGGGACAGTGGGATCAGTGTAGGCAATTGCTGTTGGACAATGGGAGTCTCCTCCAAGTGGAACCCTGCAGGAAGGCTGGCATTGCGCAGGCACAGGTGCAACAGGGCAGGTTGGTAGATGTGCTTCTTGCTCTTGCAGAAGCTGAGCTAGAAGCCTGCAAGTTCTCCAAGACCTCAGTATATCTCTCTCTCTGTCCAGTGATGAGGAATGTAGTGTGACATATATCCACTGTGTACCTCTAAGTGGCCAGTTACCTAGCAGAGTTCTTAAACGCAGAATTTAACTGCGCTGAGTGTAAACCCTTATCATCTGGACACAGAGCCTTGTCACTAATGAGCACCCTGAGTCCTGGAAGCCTGCATGTTACAGCCAGCGAAAGGAAGTGCCGCTTGATGCACTAGGGAAGTTGTAAACAGAGGTATCGCATACCTTGGAAATGGGTTTGTGAAGAGGTCCTTGGGCCTCTGAGGGAGCATCATGACAGGCAAAGATTGCCCCTTACAAAATAGCTCCTGTGCAAACCTCAGGCTGAGGTTCCGAAAAGGAACAGGGTGTCCGAGCCAATGAGATAGAATAGACACTCAGCTCAGATCCTGCCTCCTCCTTTATTAGCATCACTCCTCCCATGTTCTGAATGGTAACGGGCAGAGCTTATAAACCAGCTGTTCTCAGCGACAGAGGAAGAGCAGATGAGTGATTTTATAGAGCAGATGTGGTCCAGGAGACCAGATGATTTAACCTTAATTGCTCTTAATATAGCTGGTTGGCCACACAGGCACTGAGCCAGGCTCTTTAACACAACCTGGTCCCAGACCACCACACCACCCCCACCCCAATAGACACCTCTACTACTGAAGAGACATGGTTTTAAAGTGATATTCACTAGGGAACACTCTTCCCTCCAAACCTATTCCTGAAGGCAGTGTGTAGATCTAGAGTTCAGTCAGCCACTTGATGGCGAGTGGTCCCCCGTCTCACTCGGTAGAGGAAGGGCCTCCTGGGCGGAGACACGTGCTTCCTTGTCTCTGGGGCCTGATGCCTTCAGGAATGTACAGTTTTTCTCTCCCACCATTAGCCACGGTTTGGTGTGTCTTTACAATAGAAATGCTATTAGCTGCTGACATCCCTAAGCAAAGCACTTGAAAGAAAATGCATTTGAACTCAGTAGCTGGAAAGGATGCTCTGTTTGTGATGAATAATTTCAGGAATATTTTTTATGTCAGACTGAAGAAGAAAGAGCGAGATAAGACTAGCTTAATGGAGCAAAGGACACAGTGTATTTAAACAGACTTCATAAAAGCTGCCAGCCCGCTGAGTTCTGTTCACGGGCTGTGAAAAAGCTATCGTTTTGGCGGAGCCCCTGCGATATGGGATTCTCTGCTCTATGTATTCACTGCAGCCACTTCCTGCTCCTTCCACGGAAGCTGATGGATTTCATTTATTCATTAGCCAACTTTTCAGGAAGAAAATAACTCCCGTGTGCTCTGAGAAGTAATTAACCCTCGGCTGGGCAACCTTTTCCCCATCTGCCAATCACTTTGGGGCCCAGGTTTCCCACCGACCTGCTGAAACCACACCTCTCAACAGCTCCTGACGTGACACCTACTGCATTTCTTTACAAAGCTGTGATTCCATTCTCTGTCACTGGACACAGTTTCACATATCCACCTTCTAAGTCCAAGTAAAGTGAACATTTTTGCTTCAGTTCTTTTAAAGAAATAAGTGTTACTTCTGATGTTTGGATACTCAGTGAGCAGCACTTTCCTCACCCAGTACCTGGAATCACGTCAGAAAAGACATCAGCAGTAAGGTTCTCTTCTGCTCCCACGGGAAGGTCTGCCCTGGGAACTTACGTCTTTGTGTTTTTGATATAATACGAAATGGACTTGGGCTTTGGAAAAAGTAGGACCACATGAGTGACTCCAGGGGCCTAAGAAGATGCTGGCTGCTCACAGGAGGCCTCTGGTGACTGAGTGCAATGATGTAAGGAACACTGCCACGTGGGTGGGGGTAGAGGTGGGGGGACTTACTGTCATACTCCTGTAGCAGCTCCACCGCTGTCAAGAGAACGGCTCTATGTTCTGGGTCCCTGATATTTAACTCATCCAAGTCCTCCTCCTCCAGGAGCTTAAAGGTGTCCAGATCCTCATAGCCATTGAACAGGAAGGTGGGCATGTGCTCCTGGGAGGAAAGAGCACAGATGTGGATCAGCAGGCTCAGCCACGTGATCCATGACCGACAACCAGCCTCAAACCCCTAAATGTTTTCTATCATTGTTGTTATACTACCCTGTTTCCCTGAAAATAAGACAGTGTCTTATATTAATTTTTTCTCCCAAAGTTGCACTAGGTCTTATTTTCAGGGGATGACTTATTTTTCCATGCGCTAGGTCTTATTTTCGGGGAAACACGGTAATTAAAAGAGTAGTGCCATGTGTAAGTGTGCCATGTGTAAGCGCCAAGTCCTCTGGCTCGGTAGGTGGGGGGAGGGAGGAGAGGCATTTCACTGATCACGGGTTAAGAAGATCTGCACCGCAGGCGGAGACAGGTTCCTTGGCTTACATTTCAATTGTGCCCTTGCTATGAGCTGATCTCTTTACCACCACACGGTGCACTGGGGACAAGGCCATTTCATTTACAGACCTACTGAAATCCAACTCAGAAAGGCCTGGGACTTCCCCGGAAACAAGGCTGTTTTGCAAGGAGGAAACAGAACCCAGCACTGCAGCCAGATGCCGGCAATGATGTGGGAGAGGCGAGAGGAGCGAACACTCAAGCCTCTGTGGAGCCCAGTGAGCAGGGACAGAAGGGCGTGTGCTCACTGCCTTTCCTGGTAGGCAGTAGCTTCAAGCCGGGAGCATTTTAAAAACTGCTCTTGGGGGACTAGTAGCAAACTCTGACCCGCAGCTTAGCTGATACCCACGACAGAGGTCAAGGGCAGCATTAGCATCCGGACAACCATTTCTGTAGAATAATGGCGACTCATCACAGTAAGAGGCCACCCAAAAGGGAGGACATAAGAGCACCCTCTCCCCTTCCCCGAGAGAGGCCTCTCTTGCTTAGTTTAGAAGGAGAGGCAGCATGGGACTAGAGCGGGAGGGAACTGACTTTCAGGTTAATCCGGTCGAGGAGGTCCTCCACGGACTTGGGCTGGGGTGGTCTTCCTTTCCTCCTCCTCCTGGTGGGGCGCTTGGGCTTCTCCTCCTCCTCGTTCAGCACGTCCACGTAGATGAACTTGAAGGTGCCCACCTTGTTGTTCAGCAGGCCCATCCAGGTGCCCATGGGTGGCTTGCTGATTATATCGATGATGTCTCCTTTCTGGGGCCCAGGGAACAAAGACCTGTCCGTTAGGCACATTCCTAAGCATGAATCGTGAATCCATGAGAGGTTTGCATCCCCCACATGCGGAAACACTAGGAAGGCCAGAACCAGGGTCCTACGAGTCACCTTATGAACGGGAGTTTGGGAGAGGGCCAGACCGAACACTCCTGACCGCGCTGGAACCTACACGGGCTGGAGGTCTCGAACCCCCCGCCCTCCCGCCGCCCAGGCCGAAGTGTCTGTCTCCCAGTGCTCATGGCTAGGCGGGAGGTACCTGGCTCTCTGACTGCCTCGCCACCATCCAGAGCTCCTACTGCTTAAGAGAAAGAATTTCCCCCAAAATGCCAGTGGCAATCCCTGCTCTGTGACTGCTTCCTACACTATGGAATGCTGTCTGCCCCATTTAATGCCGCTGACCACCCAGAGCAGGCAGGAAGGTTTCTTTAGCGAGAGAGCCAGACACTGGACCCTGGAGGGCAATAGGAATCCTACAGGAAAGCTGAGGTGGGGGTTCTGGAGCAGGAGGATGAGGTGGTGAGGACAGAGGATTAACATGAGCCCTGCCTCTGTCCCAAATGCTGGCTGGTTCTGTTCTGTTTTTCCCTCCAGAGGAGGGCAGCTTATGAAGGCAGCCAAGACATTGGCCAGTATGCACCGCAGGAGCCCAACACTCCACACAGGAACTGAACTCCTCCTAAAGAACAAAGAGCCCATGCCGAAACCGGTTTGGCTCAATGGATAGAGCGTCGGCTTGAGGGCTGAGAGGTCCCAGGTTCGATTCCGGTCAAGGGCATGTACCTTGGTTGCGGGCATATCCCCGGTAGGGGGTGTGCAAGAGGCAGCTGATCGATGACTCTTTCTCATCGATGTTTCTAGCTCTCTATCCCTCTCCCTTCCTCTCTGTACAAAATCAATAAAAATATATTTTTTTTAAAAAAAAGAAGGAACAAAGAGCCCAGCCTAAGGCCAGATGCACACCTTCAGCTTGAGAGAGTCTGTGTCATAGGGACTGGGGGTGAAGTCAGTGTGCACCCTGGCGCGCCCACAGAAGGGGCCCCGGTAGGGGAGCTCCTCATCATCGCCGTCTTCCGACTTGACGCTCTCTCGGTTGCTGGTGGAGGAATCGGTGGTACTCACTGTCTGGCCACCTGTACAGGAGACACAGGGAGAAGAAGGATAAATGCAGATGTTCCGTGGAGAAAAGCAGAAAGATACCGAAGAAGCTGCAGGTTAGGGCATGAAGGGCAGAATCATGAGCCAGGACCACATCAGGACCAGAGCAGGACCCAGGGATGAGTCCAGGGAGGGTCTGAGTTTTCTGAAGGCTAAAATCCAGCCCCTCATGGCACAGGCAGGACTCAGCAAGTTATCTCTGTGATCTGGGAATGCAGGTGACATCACAAGCCCAGAACATTCGGGCCCTCTCATTGGTCAGGCATAACATTTTTACCCCATCTTCCGGTGAGGAAACACACTCAGAAATGTCAAATAACTTGCCCAAGGCCAAGTGCTTTAAAGTGGTGGATTTAAATGTGGTCCCTTTCCCCATACCATTCTGAGGACACCACCACCGCTGCCAGTGGTTGACCAACATTCATTATCAGTGACTTCTATCATTCTCCTCCCTGCCCCCGTCTCTTACTGTGTTGGTCATCATGATCTTGAAGACTTGACTTATCCTCCTCCACTCTCCAGATCGTCCCTCTGAGATGCTTTTCCTATCTTCTCTGACCAAAATTCTTCACCCTCTCCCTTGTGCCACTGCTGTACATCGACTAAACAAAGACAATTCTAGGTCCAGATATTTGGTAGGTCTCTCTCTCTCTTCTCTCTCTCTCTCTCTCTCTCTCTCTCTCTCTCTCTCTCTCTCATAGCACCCTAAGGGTAGGACCGTGGGCTTCTTTATCTTTAAATTGCCTGAACCTTACACCCAGTAAATCTGATTTTGATTCCATAGGAAATCATGTACAGTTACAAAGCAGACGTACTCATCGAGCTCTGTCCACTCAGCGAACTCCGAAGACTCTCTACGGAACCTCCGGCTTTGAGCTTGGGCTTGTCCATGTGTTCACTGTCAGGCTGGGAGGGTGGCGGGGAGCCAGGCATTCCATCGAGGCCCGCGTCCTGCAACAGATTTCAACACAATTACGTTTCATCAGAGAGGACAGCTGTCATTTTGTAACTCAAAGCAATTTAGCCCTCAACTAGAGCAAATCCAATCCAATTTTATACCCATATTTGATGCCATAGCCAGTGCTCTCCTCCTTTTTAATCTATATCCTTGCTCCAGTTAAAAGTCTGGCCTGTGTATCAATTAATTGAGCACTTAAAAATTGTTTTTCATGCTCAACAGAAATTCTTGAAACCTCTGAAAAACATCTATCTACCTCCTACATAAAATCCTTCCTTAAAAGCTTAGAGATGCAGCACACTCAACAGTCCAGTAAAGAAGCCGGATTTCAAATGCAGATCAAGCAGAATCCATTAGCAATGTGTATCTGGGATCACTCCCAGGAAGTAAATCATCTATTTGAAGGGAAACATTTACCGTAAATATATACACATTCCTTGTGGGTTGTTTTTCGTTTTTTTTTTAAAGACCAGATTGATATGTCTCTAGTTATACAAATTAATAAAATTGGCTAAGGAAATACCAACTCAGGACCCAGCTACATAGCAAAAATACAATTTTTCAGCCCGGCCAGTGTGGCTCAATGGTTGAGCATCAACCTATGAATAATAGATCACGGTTTGATTCCCGGCAGCCAATCAATGATTCCTTCACATCATTGATGTTTCTATCTCTCCCTCTCCCTTCCTCTCTGAAATCAATATATATTTGTTGTTGTTTGTTTGTTTGTTTTAATACTACTCTTCAGTCTATGGTGAAATGTCTATAGGTTTAGTTATTATCCGTTGTTCCCATGTTTTAGTTTGTGTTGTTAGTAAAAAGCTGTGAGGACTCTTTCAGATCGCTTTTGGGATGGCTCTGTCACAGCCAGGCAGCCCCTCTTTTGCACATATAAACGTAGCACGCTCATTGGGCTCCTGGTGTGACAATGTCTCTCCTCCAAAGTTTGCAGTGAGAATGGTTTACTTGCCACAACAGAAACCGCCCTGGCATCTCACACAGCCATGTGAGCACCAGACCATCTAAACGAAACCTGTTATTTGTGTGGTGCCGAATCATCAGAAGAGCGTTAACAGGATTCTGTGGGTCCTGCAAACATTTAAGGTCAACAAACAGCCATGGCAGCTTCTGATCCAAGACATTGTGCTTCTCATTTAAGGAAAGTGAGCGGTTGGCCTCAAAAACCATAAACCGAGGTGCCATTATTTGGGAGTTACTGAAGCTACAAAGTATGAATTCCTGATGTGTTTTTTAAATGTTTTTATTGATTTGAGAGAAAGAGAGAGGGAGGGAGGCTGATGAGGAGGAGGGAGTGAGAGAAGGGGGGAGATACATATAGAGAGACATCGATAGGCTGCCTCCTACAGGCCCCCGACCCGAGATTGAGCTGGAAACCGGGTGTGTGCCCTGACAGGGAATTGAACTGGTGACCTTTTGGTGCACAGGATGATGCTCAACCAACTGAGCCACACCAGTCAGGGCCTCAATGTATTTTCATTCCTAAATCATAAAATAACACATCCAATTACATTCTTTTTTTTTAAATGCCTCTGCTACAAGCACATGTGGTTTTAGGGCTTTTTAAACAATAGTGGTATTAAATATACCTCTCTAATATTGTATGTTCTTAAATGCTTTCAAAAATTATTTACTCAGTACATACTTATGGATTCCCTATAAGAACAGGTAGTATTCCAGGTAATGGGCATATTGCAGGTAAAAGTCCTAATCAGAATGGGTGGTATTCCCTCCCCAAAAAGCATTATAATAGCCACTTACTCCTTCTCTCCCCCCCCCCAATTATGTGAAATTACTGTTTTGGTGTAGTTTAAACAAACAAACAAACAAACAAACAGAAGACTAAGAATACAAGGTGGGTGTATAGTAGTAAAATTATAGGAAAAAAATGTTCAAATGACATTAAAGTTCTGTGCTCAAGCAGAAAACCTCTATGAACGGGAAGCATACACGAGCTCTTAGTTAGGGGAAAAGCCAACGAAATGAAGTGCCACAAACTGAAGGTGCTGCCTCCCTGCCATGGCAGCTGCTCCCCAGGAGAGCAGGGTGCACTTCATTTGTGGTGAGAGATACAGAATCCCCATCAAGCCCACACCCAAGGGCCAGGAAAGGCAAAGAACACAGAGAACAATCGTAGGGAACACACCGCGGAGGCAGCGACCTGCCCTGCAGGTCTGAGAAGCCGGGGCTGAGGGGCTGAGAGGCTGAGAGGCAATTATGTGGGTGCTGCCCTGTATATTGGTGAGGCTGCTCTCCTGCTCATTCTAAGATGCCTCCCTGGCCTCTGTCCAGTAGATGGCAGTAGTACCCAGCCCATCCCACCCCAGTTGTGATTGTCTAAATGCCCTGGGGATGGTGGGGGAGCAAAATCACCCCACCCCTGTGAGAACCACTACCATCTGCTGAGGCTCTTGGGCAGGCCTTGTGGAATCACTAGGTGGCTGGGCTGCCTAGCTGGTGAGATTGATACAAGGGGCTGCTTGGATTTTAGCTTACTCTGCCCACCAGAGGGCAGCAGCTGAGCCCACATGTCCGCTTTCCCTGTTTTATATTTGGTAAGTAAACCAGCATTACCTACATAGTTCAAGGAGAAAATCGGCAGACACTAAAAATCTTCAACAGACCACAAAAAACATATCCTACAGAGGTACCAGAGGGGAGGGCTCTGAAAATCTAAGGGTCAGAATTCCCTTTAGTCCCTCCACCCACACAAGATAGAAACTATCTTTCTAGGGATGGGATTACAGAATGCAGGGGATCAGTTCTGAGTTATCGTAAAGCTGCAGAGAGAGCCAGTGAGTGAACCCATCCCTGTGGAAGCATGAATACTGCTGAAGCCCACTGCCAGCAAGCGCTTTCCAAGTTTACTTCTCAGACTTGCTGTGCGTTTCAACAACAAATGCTACACTGGAAAGGTCTGCTGCCTAAGAAAACTTGAGTGTCTTTTTTTAAGGGTTGATTCCAATGACATCCATTTTGTAGCAAGGGATTTATTTTAGAAAATAGAATCTTTTGTGTTTAAAATTTGTGCCTTTACTGCACTAAAGAATGCAATTTTTTTCATGCCTGCCTCTCCTTCCATCTGAACGTAGAAAGTAAGGCCTGCACTTTGTATTCCCAGCACCAGGCAAGGTGCTGGGATGACCCTAAGTGCTTACTCCATGTTTGCTGTACCAAATGCTCGTCTACATAAACTAAGCATGGTCCTGAGCCAGGAGAATGCCAATGAATGTCTGAGTGTTCAGCACCATTTAGAATCTCACACGGACATCCTCGGCTTCCTTTCCTGGTGTCAGGAGGAACCAGGGGATGTTTCGCTTGGCACCTGCCTACCTGCTCAGGGACAGAGTTGCTGTACTTTTTGGACATTCTCTTCCTCATTGTCTCTTTCACGGATTTGACCTTTTTTCCAAGAGAAATGCGGGAGGCCGTAGGTGACTTGATGACTTCCTTGTACACAAAATCTCCTTCTTTACCCTGCAAAACAAAGCAAGGACCATTAATCACAGGGAACGAGGTCCCCAAACAGGCTTTATTGTGGAAACCATTAATGTTGTATGTCTCAGAAACATCCTGGCATCCCCTAGGATTCTGAAATGTTTCCTGTTAACTGAGTGCGAGGCTATTAATCATTGTTTAACTTTTTTTGCTCGTTTTTTCATCTTGTTTTATTTTTCAATTACAGTTGACATTCAATATTGGTTTTTTTTTTTATTAGTTTCAGGTGTATGCTATTTATCTTTCTTTTTAAAAATTAAAAGCGATTCACCAAGGGCTCTTGTTTGTTTAAAGTGGGATGTGAAATACGTTTTATTTTATTTAATCTTAGGACATTCCCTCTCCCAGTATACTTCTCCCCCCATGGGAAATACCCACGGGGACTGCATTTCACCAATAGAGTGACAGAGATGAACCAAGGTTCGCATAACCCCAGCAGTGGGGGAGAGAGAAAGACAATGTTAGTGAGCACCGAGGACCGTGGTGAGTATAAAATGGGACATCTCAGTCATCGCAGGAAAACACCAGACCGGGTTTGTGTCAGGGTGGCCCTCAGAGTGGTTGGCTTCTGAGTTCATGAATTTCCTTTCCTCAAACAGTTACACTGTGGATACCGCTTGTCTTACTTTTCACTGAAGACAGAAGACAACTTTCCCTGGAAAGTCAGAGAAAACACACTTTCTCTCGTTTCCTAAAAAGACGGACTAAGTAACATTCTTAGTTTACAAATCCATAAAATTTGATGTCCAAATAAAATAGTTTTATTCTTCCAGGAAATTCTCAAATGCTTCAAAAGTCACAGGTGCGTGTTTTCAGCAGACATGTGACAAGAGAAAGCAGTTTCCTGGCAAAATGCACGAGGGGAGAACAAAACTGCATGCAGAGCTCACCTGTGTCCACACGGCCTTCCCAAGGAAACACGGGAAGAACGTGCACAGCACAGGGGTGACGTGGCCCCACACTGGGATCCAGAAGCAGCGGGCCGGAGGAGCCAGGAAGCTCAGCCCACAGAAGCCTGGTTTGCTTTGGCCCCAAGGGGACAAGGTTCATCCCAGGACACCCCGGATCAGAAAGACCTAGGCTTAATATGGGGCTGTGTAGTTGGCCTATGATAAAACTGGTTTTCAGAAATGCTGGCAAATGCTCTTGAACGCAAATCACAGGCTCCATCCTTTGGCCTTGATTGTGTGCAGCAGCCATGCTCACTTAAAACCAGTGTGTGCAAACACTAGCGTGAGACCCAGAGGCCAGATGCATCTGGAGGTGTGACTTGGAGGACACTGGGAACACAGGCACTGAAGGAATGGGGCTACTCTAGGGAGAGATGGAGGCCCAGGTGGTCGTGGTCCAGTTCCCGTGGAAAAGAGAAGTGTCTATAAGGGAAGGGCAGTAAGGGGGGAGGAAAAGGGTGTGTGTGTGTGTGTGTGTGTGTGTGTGTAAAAGGTGAAGGGATTAAACGAAGAAGAAAACCTCACAGACAGAGAAAACAGCATGGTGATGACCAGAGGGAGAAGGGGTGGGAGAGATAGAAGAGGGTAAAGGGGGATAATTGGTGATGGAAGGAGACTTGATCTGAGGAGGTGAACACATACTACAATATATAGATGATGTATTAGAGAATTGTACACCTAACACCTATTTAATTTTATTAAGCAATGCCATTCCAATAAATTCAATTTAAATTTTTTTTTTAAAACCTGGCTGAAATAGGGCTTCTTTTTAAACAATTTAAGTTCACTGATGAAAAGATTACTCAGCCATCAATTCTCAGAGACTAGACTTGAAACTATGTCAACCACGTGGCTTGGATCTGAGCCTTTTGCTTTCCCGCTGATGCGTACTCACCATCGGGTAAGCGTTATTGCTGCCAACGTGCAGAGAACGATTCGTCAAGTCAAATCCTCCAAAGCTGCAGGTTCTCTGCGGAAAGGGGAAGGCAGGACAGTTAGGCTGACACCGACCAGCAGTGCACCTACCCAACTCATTTCCCACTTACAGAACGTCACTGAATCACAAATACGTTACAGGATGGAAGTAGGACGAGAAATGGTAAGGAGGAAAAAAAATACATGATTCATGTTACTAGGAAACTTGCCACTGGAACTGTTGCCTACAGAAGAGGTCCAGAATCCCCTAAACATGCAAAAACCCCGCCGGTTAAAAAAACTCCTAACCAAAAGTCACCCGTGTTTCCCTGTCTCTTAGCAACAGGCTTCCCCTCCCAGCCCCCTTTAGATCAGCTGCACTCAGTAGTGACACTGAGGGCATCCATGTGCTCAGAGGGTCTTGGAAACTCAGGTCCAACACCCTATGGCTCTGCCACTGACAGCAGGCTTTCTTAAGAGACTCTTGTTTAGTTTTAAATCGGTAAGAAGGGAGAAACTAGGTTATGTTTACAGCAGTCCAGTCAGGCCAACAGGGTTACTCATTCATTGCTTTCCTGACCTAGCCAAAGAGGCTGGTAACTTTCCCATCTAACTGACCAACTTCATCAATTATGACTCTTTTTTCTGAGTGTATCAAGATGCCACATTTGCCCAGTAAGAAAGAAGTTGATTCAGTGACTGTCTTTGACCACACTCTAATTTAACAGGGAAAACACCAATGTTATGAAAAATAAAAACCTTAATGTTCTTGCACTTGGTTTCAAACTTTACGGAACTGCATATATTTCCATGATTTTTATATTTTCAAAAGGACCATCTCCACAGCTGCCCCCCAACCCCTGCCTCCCCAGAAAAAAAAAAAAAAAAAAAAAAAAGTCTGTAAGAGAAAAGAGAAACTTAAAGCTCACTAATTCTTCTTACAACTGATTCTCTTTTTTTAAGCAACTGGTAATAAAAGTTAAATAGCAGATTTGGGCTCCATAATTTGTACAATCTATTTCTCAGCAAACTCTAGTTAATAGATGTTAAACAGAAGAAATTAATGTACAGCACAATAGATACTATAGACCCTGCTTATTTAAAATAAATGTACTGCCCTAGCCAGTTTGGCTCAGTGGATAGAGCATCAGCCTGCAGACTGAAAGGTCCCGGGTATGAACCCACTCAAGGGCACATGCCCAGGTTGCAGGCTGGATCTCCAGTAGGGGGCACAAAGGAGGCAACCGATCAATGATTCATCATTGATGTTTCTATATATCTCTCCCCTCTCCCTTCCTCTGAAATCAACAAAAATATGTCTAAAAAACAAACACATAAAATAAATATACTTTGGATATATATTAATTAAGTGAATTGATAAAGAAACATCCAGAAGGAAAATGCTTAGGTTTTTCAAAATACAGATGTGGGTCCAAATTCTGGTTCTGCCACTTATTTGCTGTATGACCATAGGTAAAATACTTCAACTCTCTGAGCTCTGGTTTCTTCATCTGCGAAATACCACCTGTAGCATAAATTTGAAGACTTCTAGCACACTATCTGACACAAAGCAGGGAGGGGTCTCTGAGAATATTGGTTTCTGGCATTACTTCTCATTAGGACTACACTGAGAACTGTAGCTTGTCCCAACAATTGTTACACTGATGAAGCTTAGGCTCAGGCAACATTCTAAACATGCAAATGAAGGACTAGAGCTTGGTTCTGTGCCGTGCATTCTGGGAGCTTCAACTGTAAAACCAGAGCATCCTAGGAATGGGTCAAAGAGAGACAGCAGATGTGGAGGAGGGAGGCCAAGAGATGCAGGTGTCACGGGAGGTCTTTCGGGATCCCCAACATTTGGGATGGCACAACCACCCTCCTTCACCACAGCCATGTTGCTGTTTTAAAGGACCTACCACAGGCATGACATCCAGTGAACATATTTTTATTTTATATTAAATATCGATGGACAAGCTGATTTCCCTTATAACCAACTTAACTAGACCTCTATCTATTCTATAAAAAAACAGAAACCTTTTTACACAAAAAAACGCCAAATCCCCTCATCTGGAGAGTGGTGTTAGGAACACTTCTCCAGGCTAATTTTCAACATTAATTTCCCTCTCCAGCTCATAATGCCCAATAGACTTCTTCCTTTTTGTAAAGACAATCATTTTATTGTGGCTCGCTTCCTGTGAGGCAGGGCTCACAGACACAGCATGGCACCCAGATGCCTGCTCGGGTTATGGCTCGGCACTTCCCTGCTTTGCATTCCAGCTTCAACTGCCAGGCTGGAGCCCAGCACGCTATTTCTGATGCATGGGAACTAACTGACAGAGCACTTATGTGGAAATATAGCTGTAATGAATCAGAAGCTCGTTTATATCCTCGGATGCCTGCTGTATGCATTTATCCCTAAAATGAAAAGCTCCAAGCGTGAACTGCCTTTGTGAAGCACCAACTAAAACCTCTCCCTGAGATATGCTAAGATATCTGGGAACAATTCCTCGGTATCATTGCAGAGGAACAAAAACTGGAACAACGAACGCTGCTTGAACTCATCTCTCCCCTTTCAGTGACATCAAGTAGATCTCAAAGCATCACCACCCTTTCAACAGAGAAAAGAGATTTCAGAGAGAACAGTGAGATCTTCGGCTTTGGCAGTCTCCACGGATGAAGCCTAAATGAGGTTTGTCAAGGGCATCACGTCTCATGTCCAAGTAATCGTAAGACTTTAGGTAGATGCTTGTGGGTGAGGAAAACCGGGCAATGGAATGGTCATGCAGTTGAGAACATGTTTTTTGGGGGGAGTTAGGGTTGAATTTTTAAAATGGACAAAATTCCAAAATGTCATGCATGTCTGTTTCACCAAACAAAAACTGAATGATCAAATAAAAAGAAAGACAAGTGACCATTTTCAGTGAATACACAGCGTTATCATTTCCCTGAGGTTTCATCAAGCAAATATGGCTTTTTTTTTTTTTAAAGATAAAAAAAGATTAAGGTTGAAGATTAAAGGACACTGCACTTTTGGATAAAATGAAGGAGATATATGTCAAAAAGAATAGAAAGAGCACTTTAAGTAAAGAAATTATGTCTTTAAAAAGAGAAGGAAAAAAAAAAACCCTGTTTGATGTTTAACATTATTTGCTCTTATAGTCTCTGATTAGAAAATTTTGTTTATCTGATTGTACAACTATACTTACAATAAAAGGTATGTGCAAACTTCTAATTTAGCATCAAACATATATTTCCACAGGTATTAATTCTGCCCAATACTGCCTCAAGTTCATAGCACCTTAAAAAAACCAACCTCAAGCTGACACTTGGAACAGAGATTACATAATGCCACCTTTACAGGGGAAAAAACTGCTCTCGTGTCATTGAAGACTAAATCACTGTCCCACAGTGTTATTTAGCACCAAATCTTAGAAACATAACTTCTGGACAGAAAAACTTGATAAAGTTTGATCGTTAACCTGGTTATAAATAATATGAAGGGCAATGAACAGATCCAAGTGCTCCATGTGAGAAAATTCTCATTATTACATGATTTAAACTCATGAAGCTGAGTCACCCACCAAGAGAGCAGAGGTGACTCTGACCATCCAACTCCTGTCCAATGGCAGAGAGGCCCATAAACTGGGCAGAGCACTCCCACAGGTAAAAAGTAAACTATCCCAAGACTGGTTAGCCACAAAAGACATGTGGGTCAGAACTGAGTGAGTGAGAAAAGGAATTGTGTTATTTTACAACAGAACAGGACCACTGATCATTGTTGCCATGATGTGGAAAGAACGAGAAGAAATATTGCCACTTATAGTATTCAAAGGTTTGCAAGACTGTTAGGAAAGTGAGAAGATGGAAAATGAAACCTCGCCAGAAGGTCAGCATGTGCAGGGATATTTGGAAAACAAAAGGGGTAAGGATGGAAGGACCTTTTTAGGAGAAGGTCATCGGAAGGGGATGGATGGCACTAGCCAACCAGCCTCCATGTCCACAAAAGGAGAAATTGATTGAAGGAATTTAAGTCACCGTAACCACCTGTGGAAGAACACCTCACTCCTGAATGGGAACAAACCCTGGAGAAAGCCCTCACAAGAGGCTGCCATGTAGTCCATTCCTTCAGACCTTTAAAAGGGGACACAGCCGACAGTCCCGAGGGAAGGAAGCAGGGCACAGGAGACAGCAGGGCCAGGAAACCACTCCTCCTCCGTCTGGGCAATGTATATGGGCTACCATGCAAACCGGAAGTTGGGTGGGAATTTCAGGGGGGGCAAGTATCTATAGTCTCCAGTTCAGAATAAGCCATGCCCTGACGATAAACTTCACCAAAGTGCAATAACTCAGTAATAAAACTGAAAAATGCCTTATCCTGTGAAAAGGAGCACTTCATTCCTTGCTATGTATAGAAGAATGGAGCAGTGGAGGACATTTCAAAATAGTCGCTCCTTTGATTAAAAAGCCAAGGGCGCCAACTGGACTTAACTAGAAAAGAGCTCTAATTCTCTTCCCTTTGGATGTAAGAAATTTTCCATTTGCTTCTACTGATAAAAGAAATAAACTTGACAAGCGCTTCCAAATCACCAATTTGGTGATTTGGGATGATGGCAATCTTTCCATGAGCTTAGCTCCCATTGTTTTAATTAGCTGAAACAATAAGCCTCTCTTTTAAGGGCAAAACACCCTCTGTTTTGAATCAGCCTCTTTGAGGTCAAGTGACGTGATGGCTGGGAACGAAGACAGCCACCCTCAATGGAGGCCAAACCCCACCCCGGGGACGCTGGGAGCCCTCCTCTGGGTCAGGAAAGAGGACCCACGGGAAGGAGAGGGCTGGACATCGGAGAAGAGGATGATGGCACGGGACCTGGCGTTAGGAAGCTCTGAGCAGAAGAGTAGGGAGGATGCCAAGCCCCGCAGAAGCTAAAAGCCATAATGCTTGACCACACCTCACGGGAAAGGACAAGGCCGTCCTGGGGCGGACACCCCCGGGAGGACTCACGGACTTCTGGTGGATTCTCAAGAGAACCCTCTTAGCACAGCGGTCCACCGTGGCGGCCCACTTCCTCCTGGCCTCGTCCTCCTCCTGCAGCAGCAGGCAGCGCCGCAGGTCCCGCTGCTCGGCCTTGCCCAGCGTCCTGTCTGAGGCCGGCCGCACCAGCTGGCTCAGGTTCAGGTTCAGGTGGCTGTACAGGCTCCGCTCCACCACGTAGGTGATATTGACCTCGCTGACCGCGGCGGGGCGCCCGCGCCCCCTCCTGCCGGGGCCGCCGCAGCCCCCTCCTCCCCCTTTGGGTCTCTGCCGCAGCAGCTGCAGGTCCCAGGGCGCGCCGGGGGCTCCTCTGCGGGACAGGGGGCGCTGGCAGAGGAAAGCCCGGGAGCAGGCGTAGTTGGCGTCCGTCTTCTTCAGGCGCAGCTGCTTGCGGACGCTCTGCACCTCCTCCAGGGACACCAGGAGGTGGTGCCTGCGGCGGTGGTGGTGGCCGTCACAGAGGCACACGCCGCCCTCGGTACTTACCCCGTGGCTCAGGGACCCCAGGCTCTTCTTCATCTCGCCCTCGGTCAGGGAGCGGGACACCTTCTGGGCCTTGTCCTCGTCCGGGTACGAGAAGAACGTGCCCATCTTCTTGGGGGGCTTGATGAGGCCCCGGCTGTCTCCCTTGCTGAAGGTTTTGACCAGCTTCCGGCCGGCGGCCCAGGCCTCCAGGTTGCTGGGCGATGGAGAGGAGGCGAAAGGGTCCACGTCATCTTCCGGAGGCTTCTCTGGGGAGCCGTCGAACAGGAACGGCTTCTTGTGCACGCCCGAGTACAGGGCGGCCCTCTCGTCCAGTGCCGGGGGGCTCTCAAACACGGGCTCCTCCCCGCCTGCAGAGGGGGCAACAGACACGGTCAGGGCCTCCACCCGTGCCTTTGCATTTGCCCCCAGACCTTGCCTCACGCACCCCCACCCAGGCAAGGGAAGTCGTCCATGCAGAAACCACAGGGATGGCCCTCCCTGGGTCACTCACCCCTTCATCAACCGGCTCCCCCTTAAGTAAGGCCCGTGAAAAAGGAAAATCAAACTGTGCCAACAGTGGGCTTCACACAAGCTTGGTGTTAAAAGGTTTCAGGTGTGTTTTTCTCTCCTTCTTTAAACATCTTTGGAGATCAAACCCCTTACCAGACCTATTAAAAGTGCCTTTGGGCCAAAACCGGTTAGGCTCAGTGGATAGAGCGCCAGCCTGCAGACAGAAAGGTTCCAGGTTTGATTCTGGTCAGGGGCATATACATTGGTTGCGGGCACATCCCCAGTAGGGTGTGTGCAAGAGGCAGCTGATCGATGTCTCTCTCTCATCGATGTTTCTAGCTCTCTGTCCCTCTCTCTTCCTCTCTATAAAAAAAATCAATAAAGTAGATTTTTTTTTTTTTAAAGTGCCTTTGGGAAATCTAAACCAGTCATTACCACGGTAACCCGCAGCACTCGCAGTAAATAAGTAGCCTCCCCAGCTGGTTACGTGCAACCATCCCCAGAAGCTGGAACCAGACCCCTTCCCTCCTGAAAGGCTGTCCTGTTGAGTCTGGTCGCCTTCTCATGCTCAGGTGGTGGTGAGTGCCATGTGGCAGGCGGCGATGTTTTATTGGCACGTGTGAGTCCAGGTGTGGAAACACCACCACATAGGGGTGTGCCCAAGAAGTTAGGGAACTGAGTCACCCCAGCCAGGCTGTCCCATCCACTCAGCCCTGCTAGAGGCAGCGGTGGCCCTGAGGGGCGGGGGCCTGCGAGCAGCCCCACCCACGTCCCACAGAATCTCAAGGACACGGCGGCTCCCTGGAGCCTTCGCCGAAGCCAGGTACCACGCCAAGCTCTCCGGAGCCAGAGGAGAGGTCTGGCTGGACTCGCTGGCAGGAAAACCGATGTGAACAGATGTGAGAAAAGAAGTAGGTCAAACTGTGGGTGTAGTGACCCTCACTGGCTGAGTCCCTTTAATTATAAGGAAACTTTTGAGCAGGACAGCTTTCCAACAGCTGAACTGTGAAGAGGAAAAAGCACAGTTTCCTGGAACAGAGGGATGGCACTAAATATATCAGCTGGAAGGAGGGTGCCAGTGTGTGGTTAAGTGTCGGAGATAAACGGAAAGGACTGCTCACTTCAGGGGGGACGGGGGTGAGGAAGGGGCATGGAAATGAGTGGATTGGTGGCAGTCCTTTAAAATTCCAAAAGTTTCTTACTCTTCCAGTGGATTGGAATTACAGTGCCAAATATAAAGAAACAAGTACCACTGCTATTAAGCACAAGCCTGGACTGACTCTGAAGTCAAGGAGGAGGTGGTGGAAAGGGGGATTCAAAACTATGCCCAAGCGAAACTGGTTTGGCTCAGTGGGTAGAGCGTCAGCCTGCGGACTGAAGGGTCCCGGGTTCGATTCTGGTCAAGGGCATGTACCTTGGTTGCGGGCACATCCCCTGTAGGGGGTGTGCAAGAGGCAGCTGATCGATGATTCTCTCTCATCGATGTTTCTAACTCTCTATCCCTCTCTCTCTCTTCCTCTCTGTAAAAAAATCAAAATATATTTAAAACAAACAAACAAGAACAACTATGCCCAGTCAAAAATTCTCCATCATCTGCAGGCCAAACCCACTCAACTCAAGAGTTATTCCCAGACCTTACCGGAGAGTTCAACATTAGGGTCCAGGGTTCTGACGGGAATGTGCCAGACCAGAAGCAGTGTGGGAACATTGTGAGTGTTTCCTGCTACATCCTCAGGACATCTGACTGATCAGGTAAGGAGACCAAGGGTCCCCGAGTTGCCGCAAGTAAAATGGCAACCTCTTCTACGTAGTCTAGTCTGCTCTCCCACCAACAGACTTCCCCCCAAAAGCAATCCAGTCACAGACCATGGCCTTTCCTGCAGCCCAAGTGTCCACGGAGGCATGCAAAGGCCCTTATCTACCCATAGTCCTTAGGGGCTTTGGGAAATCAGGTGGGTTGACTAAATAGTTTAAAGACCAGGCACTCAGTGGTGGGTGAACATTTTCTGGGCTCTGTCCTTAGGGCTGTCATCAGAGATCCCAATACTTCCGTGTCACCCTGGAGTCAGAACCAGCTGGGACACGCACACCCACAACATATGTAGCTGTACTCCCGGTTCGGGAAGTCAGCATCTGGTGGAGGGTTTGGAGACAGTGTGGCAAAGGTTTGCACAGTGGCCTTATCAGCCCTGTGCTGAGGGCAGGCCTCGCGTGGCACAGACTCTTCTGCCTGCCATGCCCAGACCCTGAAATCCCAGCCTGCACTGGGTTCCTTGGGTTCAAAGCATCACTTCCCCATTCTCGTCTGGCTTGAAAGTACAACCATACTTCTGAGAGAACGGCAATCAACAAAGTGCTCCCTCCGTCATCACTTAGTAAGATATGCTTCACACACTGGCCTTATCTATTTTATTCAGCGGAGACCAGAACACAGAGGGAAAGGTGCCTTTGACAGAATAGGATGACTTAATACTCAGAGAGAGCAACCGATTGATGCCCTGGATTTCGGCCCTTGCTCTGCCACTCAGCATCTCCCAACCTTGGGCAATTACTTCCTTCTCGGGGTCTGTTCCTCACTGGTGATCATGCCTACCTAGCTTTGCAATACCTACTGCACGGGGACTGAGAGGATAAAATTAAATAAAAGGGGGTATGTGACGGTACTCTCTACATGCTGAGAAGCACTGTACAAGGGCGAGTGATTCATTATGAGGATACAGATGAGCTGGAACAATGAGGGAAGGCGGTGGGAGGGCATCGCTCAAAGAGAAAGACACAGAAATGGGCAAAGGGCACCGACCTGGCTTACAGGTTAACATTGTCTCTGGTCACGGTGCCCCAGATAAGGACTTGAAACTCGAGTTACAAGGGTGAGTCTGGGTCAAGGACTGTGACTCTGCAGGCTTTCCCAAGCCTCCACGGCAGGGGGGTGGGGCAGCGTGGCAGCAGAGTGGAGACCCAGGATGGAGAGCCAGGCTGCCCAGGCTTCATTCTGTGTCTTGTGCTGGCTGGCTCAGTGGGCTGACCCTGAGTAAATTGCTTCACCTCGTGGTGTCTTAGTGTCCTCCCTTGTGCAATGAGTATGGTATTAGTCCTGCCTCTGGGGGCTAGTCTGAGGATGATATAGCAAAAGGAACATAACATCTGTGGTTTTTAGGAAAGTGCCTGGCATGCAGAAAGGTCTCAGTAACTAGTCAGGCAACTTAGCATTGGCACAGGCATGCAGGAAGTCAAAAGAATCCCACTTTGAAGGTCTGGGGCAGAGGGCAGGGGTTCCTGGGAGTGTGGATCTTAACTGCTGACAGAAGTAGGGGCCAGAGTAGAAAGAACCCCTTCTTTTGCCGATGAGGAATCTCAGAGAGTTCTATCATGCAGGGGCTGGAACGAGTGCTTGCCTGGCAGGGTGTCGGCGACAGCCTGATGCAGATGCCCCAAGCTGCACACACACACCTGGGACCTCTCCTGGTGATACCAGCAGGCCCAGTGAGTGGTATCCCCACTCCCCAACTCACTTGGGACTCTGCTCACTGAATCCATCTTCCATCTGAGATACCTACTCACACGCAGATGAATTAAAAAGTTCAGAGTAAGCCGAAACTGGTTTGGCTCAGTGGATAGAGCGTCGGCCTGCAGACTGAAGGGTCCCGGGTTTGATTCCGGTCAAGGACATGGACCTTGGTTGCGGGCACATCCCCAGTAGGAGGTGTGCAAGAGGCAGCTGATTGATTATTCTCTCTCATCAGTGTTGCTAATTCTCCATCCCTCTCACTTCCTTTCTGTAAAAAATCAATAAAATATATATATTTTTTAAAAAGTTCAGAGTAAGAAGTCACTTAGGTCATTACTGAGCTATCTCTTTTGGTAGGTTTTTCTTTTCTTTTTCTTTCTTTTTTTGTTTAAACTATGTCTCTCAGAGTTAATTGGATTATTCATTCTGAGATAATTATGGGAGTTAGTGTATTTCTGTATTTTCACCAACGTTATTCTAGAGAAAAAGGCTGCCTCAGTACACAAGACTGTCATGTCTGAAGGGGCCAACACTAACTACTCCATCATTTTATCTCATGTATGGTCAAGAGCCACCAATCTAGTTGGGATGTTTGCATTTAATTTTGTCAGGTATGCATGAGTTTTTAAATGCCATAACCAGCCTCTCCCTCCGCCAGGTTCAATGATGGCAACTCCATGGGGTTCTAGTTAATATCACTAACGGACACCGTGTGTGTGTGTGTGTGTGTGTGTGTGTGTGTGAGAGAGAGAGAGAGAGAGAGATTTCAGGAAGAGCTGCCACAATAAGGGGAAACCGTGACTGGTAGACAGGTATTAAAACATTCAAATGCCACAGGAGGGAGGAGGTAAGATGGCGGAAGAATAGATGGGCGGATTCTGAGCCCTCTCCCGAAGCAGAAAGAGAGAGCAACTGAGGGTCTTGTGCTGTGAGTGTTTATCGGCAAGCTGGGAGACAGTGAACACCAGAAGAAACTGCTGGGGGGCTGCTGACAGAGGTGCCCCTCACAGGGAAGCACCCACGAGGGCTGTGTCCCTGCCCGGAGCTACCTACCGGCTTGGATGGGGAAACCTCGCCATCTTGAGAGGAAGATAGGATTGTGTCAGAGGCCTGAATATCCACAGCCACAGCGACCACCAAGCATCTGTGACCCCCAGAACGCGGATCCCAGGCGGCGGGAACCCCTGCCCTCACAGGATTGCCCCACTGCTCAGCGAAAAGGTCAGATTTCGAGGGGAGAGGGTGGAGAGCGCTCTCGGCGAAAACAAAAAGCCTGCGCGCACAGAGCGCGCTTGCGGAAGCTGGAGGACAAGGGCGGTGATTACAAGTAGAAGCCCCCGCTGTTGGGCTGTAGTCACTCTTGAAAGTGGACGGGCTCCTAACAGGGGAGATATCTAAAGAGCAACACATTTGGATCCCCTGTTTATCTTAACCCTTTCCTGCTCTAGATTTCCCCCATTCCTTCTGTCTACCCCCTCCTAAAATTTCACCCTACTTGTAATATCTAATTTCCAACTACCTGCTCCAAACCCATTCACAACTCCCTCACAGTTGTCCTAAAAACAAAACAAAACAAAACAACAAAAAAAACAGTCTTTCTCTCTAACTCTTTGAAGTTGTATTTTGAATGTTAACTTTACTGAAGTTGTATGCTTTTCTTTTATAAGATTGATTTGCCTATGCTTTTTGTTTGATTGTATGTTTTTGTTAGCTGGGTTCTAGTCACCCTTATTGGTGGTTATTAATATCGCAAACACATTTCTATTCAGTGCCTTGTGTGTTGTACCTGGTTGTGTTGTATTTTGTGCCTTTAAATCAAAGCAGGAGAGAGAACTACACAACCAGACATCCTAGATCATGGGGAGACCAAAAAACAGCCCGCATATGAAAGAAAAGCAGGCTTCACCAGAAAAGGAAGTAAACGATATAGAGGCAAGCAACCTACCAGAGCAAGAATTCAGAGTAACGACCTTAAGATGGCTAAAAAGAATGGAAGACAAATTTGACAATATGAGTAAGACCCAAGAGGAAATGAAAAAAACCCAAGAGGAAATGAAGATGACTCAAGATGAAATGAAAAATGACATCGCTACTATGAAGAACTCAATAGAAAGCATCAAGAGCAGACTAGAAGAAGCAGAGAATCGCATCAGTGAGCTAGAAGACAAGATGGAAAAAATACCCAATTAGAGCAGCTTCTAGAAAAAAAAATTAAAAAGCAGGAGGAGAGCCTACGGGAGCTTTGGGACAATGCAAAACAAAACAATATTCGAATAATAGGGGTTCTGGAAGGAAAGAAAACCGAGGTAGATATGGAAAACGTATTTCAAGAAATAATGACAGAAAATTTTCCTGAGATAGAGAAGAAAAAACCCACACAAATCCAAGATGCTCGCAGAGTCCCAAGCAAAATGGATCCCAGAAGACCGTCGCCAAGACATATTATAATTAAATTGGCAAACACCAATGACAAAGTTAGAATCTTAAAAGCAGCCAGAGAGAGACAGAAAGTTACATATAAAGGAACCTCCATCAGACTAACTGATTTCTCAACAGAAACTTATCAGGCCAGAAGGGAATGGGATGAAATATACAAAGTCATGCAAAGAAAGGGTCTGAATCCAAGAATACTGTACCCAGCAAGACTATCAATCAAAATTGAAGGGGAAATCAGGAGCTTCACAGACAAAAAAAGACTAGAGGAATTTATCTCCACCAAACCAGCAATGCAAGAAATGCTAAAGGGTCTACTGTAAAAATAAAGAAATAGGAAGCGAAGAAGGAACACAGGGGTATAGAATAAAAATGGCAAAAAATGAGTACTTATCATTAATAACATTAAATGTAAATGGTTTAAATGCTCCAATCAAATGTCACAGGAGCATTGCATCCGGAAGGAAACAGAATTACCATGCAGAGAAGCCACCCAAAAGAAACCCAGAAATTAGCTACAACTCTAAGTTTATGAAATTGGCCATAAAGCAGACCTCTCTTCCTCTCCCATCCTTTCTTTCCCCTTTGAACTCCACTCTCCCACAGTAACCCCTCTACCTTCAAAATTCCTCTAGGGGACTTAAACTAATAAATAATTACAGCAAATTAAAATAAAAATAGCAACAATAACAACAGGAAACCATCATTTACGTAAATAAGGGCAATTCCCATTCCCTCCACAGCTCGGCTTTATGATGTACGAAAAAAGAGACCTCTACAAGGACACTTTTTAAATCTACACGTTTAAAAAAAGCTGAAATTCCTCACGATGTAGGTGTGACATTTCAGCAACAGACTTTCTTCCCAGGGTTTGTTTCAATTCATTTATCATTTTCCAAATAGGAAATCTTATCCTTTTTCTCTTTGGGGGGGAATTTTATAAGATGCTGCTGCGAATGCACATTACTAACAACAAACAAGAGACAGATCGGTTGTGATTTAAGCTGTCGTAATTACACTTCAAAGGTTAACTACTCCTTCCAATAAATCCAAGCTCCTACCCGCCTTTGACATTATTGCTTCATTGGACAAGTGGCTTAGGCAGCGGAGCAGCTCTCAATGATCCACTTAGCGCAGAAGATTCTTAAAGCCTCATTTGAACCGAGGCTTGAGACAGTTTACAGGAAGAACGCATCATCCCTCAGAGACGCAAGGGATATGAAGAGCCTTAATTGCCAGATGTTTGTTTGAGATGGATGCAAATCAAGTTTTGACTAACTCCGCTGGGCCAGAGCCACTGTCCTTTCAGGGGCAGAGGCTTATCCGAAGAGGAAGTTATAAAACCAAGTTTATATAAAATAGTATAAGCTCAAAATGAAAGCTATGCCACACCGCAAGATATCACTGTCACAGACAGTGTACTAGCATTTTTGTACTAGCATTTCAAATACTAAGACCCCCTCCCCATCCCCCAAATTCTGGACACCAGATCCTTCATCCCACAACCTGCTGAGCAATGCCCTGCTAACATGCAGCCCCAGTTCTCTCTCTGCCAGAACTCAACCCATTTTCTACTTGAAATTATCTTTTTTCTCTGTGGGAAAATGAAGTCCACATGACTAACTCTGGAATAAGCAGGGTGGCGTTTGCTTTTTTTTTTTTTTTTTTTTTTACCTTCAGTGCTGGGCTTTTTCATTTCATCCACCCTGATGAGTTTCTTTCTCACTCTGCGGGTGGAGTTCACCAGCTTGTGTAACCTCTTAAACTTCACCGACTCCTCGGTCTCATCATCCGATTGTTCTCTTGACTGGCAAAGAAACAAAAGAAAAGTTAATCAGATCATTGCCGGGAGCTTTGCTCCTGCAGCTGGGGCAGCCCCGGCCTCACCGCTGGCATGCACTCTGGCAATGCTGCAGCGGAACCTGGGGCACCACCAGATCTGCCCGACAGGTTCCTAAGCTCCACCTACCATCTTAACGTCTCAGGAGTGGAGAAGCAGGTCCTAGGCAGCAGGACACACACCCTTGCCCTTGACAGGCATGTGGTGCATTTTGTCTCAACTACTTCCCGGTCCCCCAGTCAGGAGAACTCTGCAGGCCTCTCTCTCCAAGGCTGGCCCTGTAATTCCAGTTTCACTGCTGCGGTTTGAGCCAGGCTCTCATCTGTCTGGCCCATCAGGATTTGCTGTTGAAACGTGGTCACCAGCTACTTCCTCAAACCAAAATTCTGTTGACTTGTTCCAGTCCTTCCCCGAAAATCAAAACCAGCAGGGCAGGAAAAAGGGAAGAGATGCAAAAAGCTGCCCTCAGGATCACCCTTGAGGACCTCCTGCCACCTCTCAGCCATCCCTCCGGCCTCTCCCAGCTCCTTTCAAGAGCTCAGCAGGCCCGGGCGAGGACAGCCCCTGCATTCCTCCGGCGAGGGACAAGGGAAAAAGCTGACCTTTTCAGCCATACGCTGCAGTCCATATTCCCCAGCATCCCATTCCGTTTTTGCAGCGACTCAAGTATGCTCAGCCCAGCTGTTTTCCCTCAAGTCTCCAACATTACAGAGAGCGAAAAAAATCTCCCTCCGCAGCAGTGACCCAGGCAAAAAACAATCCTTTCCTTGTGATCAAAATGAGGGTTTCGCTTCCAAGTCAGTTCCAACATTCAATACACAGCTTCCTCTGCTTTATCTGTTCGAAATGTAAAAGACGCAAAGACGTCTCCAACGAAATGGGCTGCCGCTGGGCCGGCCCGCATCCCAGGAGCACAGAGCCCGGAGGCGCAGGCGCGGCACACCCTGGGCAGCTGGTGCGACTCCAGCTCCTACTGCACATCCTGGCAACAGCTCTCACCCCATTTCCTCAAACCCACTTCCCTGAGGGAGCAGGGAGAGGAGTGCCTCCACTGCAAACCCGCACACAGCAAGCCACATCTCTGAGCACGAGTTCCGTACGGAGCCTTCCCCCCAAGAAATGCACTTCTTTTATTTTTTAAAATATATTTTATTGATTTTTTTTTACAGAGAGGAAGAGAGAGAGTTAGAACATTGATGAGAGAGAGATATCGATCAGCTGCCTCTTGCACACCCCTTACTGGGGATGTGCCCGCAACCAAGGTACATGCCCTTGACCGGAATGGAACCCGGGACCCTTCAGTCCACAGGCCGACACTCTATCCACTGAGCCAAACCGGTTTCGGCAAGAAATGCACTTATTAATCGTGACTTTATGGCTGATAAAATAGGTCACCAAGAGTGAGCGCAGAATAACTCAAGAAGAAACGGGGGTACAGATGATATGAATTTCTTAGGTACAAAAATGGTGCCTGTCATGAGTCTGCACATATTTCTACAGCACAGCAGCTCTTTGGAGGGATAACTACAACCCAGTTCCTGGCCTCCTTCTGGGGGCTCCCAGACTGTACACTCTCCCTGCAGGACTGTAGGCAAATCACGCACCACTAAAGAATAATAACTACAATCCATAAGTGACAAGTCACCGGACAGGGATATTTCTCCGGCTTCCCTTCTATGAAGAGTATCAAAATCCATAGTCCATTTCTCTAAAATTCCCAGAGAAAGTGTTGCACACACATCTCAAAATTAAGGTTAACTACTGGTTACCTGGTAATCAAGGATAGGAATTAGCCCTAGCCAGTTTGGCTCAGAGGATAGAGCGTGGGACTGCAGACTGAAGGGTCCCAGGTTCGATTCTGGTCAGGGGTACATACCTTGGATGCAGGCTCCTCCGAAGCCAAGCCCTGGTTGTGTAGGAGGCAACCGATGGATGTGCTTCTCTCACATATATATTTCTCTCTGTCTTTCCCTCTCTCTTTTCTACTCTCTCTAAAAGTCAATGAAAAAAATATCCTCAGGTGAGGATTAACAATAAATAAATAAATAAATAAATAAATAAGCAAGCAAACAAACATTAAAAAAAAAAAAAAGATAGGAATTGCACCCCCAGGTATTGGGAGGGGGCGGGGGAGGAGGCTATATTGCATGCTGGTAATTAGGCTTACTGCATTTGGCCCAAAACTTAAAATGTAAGACAATTACAAGGAAATAAATATAGCTCCTACTCTATAATGATATTGTCTGGTTTGAATTTCATTTTTACTTGACTGAATTTTTATGTACAATGAAACGGTTGCAGTGGTCAACCAGAGGAATGAGAACTTGGTCAACCCTCTTTCTGGGTAATTGGCACCTGAACAAAACCACAATGCGTGGAATTACGGATAAACATATAAAAACATTCTGCCTTCTTGATGTAACTCAAAAGCCAGGCAAGTTTAATGGAAGAATAATCAACACCAGGTCATAGAAAGTCTCTATACATAACAATGGACAAACCTAAAATAGGTATGTAGGTCTATAACCCTCAAATTAAAAAATTATGAAAATGAAATGAGCATCTTGTTTATAATGAAGGTATAGGAAGCTAATTAGAGGATAAAAATCACTGATGTATTATATATACCTCACACCTAGCTTGGGGTTGCTGATGAATGGTGGTAATGGTGTGTGTGTGTGTGTGTGTGTGTGTGTGTAGGAAACAGGGGAACTAAAAAGAGAAATGGAATACAGAAAGAACACAAAAACGTTCAGTCCACAAAGACACAAATCTTAAAGAGGAAACAAGCCATCAAAGGGAAATTTTCTGGGAGAAATAAAAAATTAAAAAAAAGTGAAACCAGGACAACAGATTTCAAGGCAAAGACACTCCCCCGCCTTCTCCAGTCCTAATTTCCTCTGCCCAGATTCACTGTGGTGAAAATAACATATTCCAGGTACTTATTTAATTGCTTTCACATGGCCCATCTACTTTTAAGAAACAGAAGCTCTTCAGAACTTTGAACTAATGGTTACTTTTCTTTTAAAAAAATGAATATTTTGGAAGTGTTTGCCTCTGACAAAACACAAATCACAGCAACCAATAACTTTTTTTCTTTTAAAATATATTTATTGATTTCAGAGAGGAAGGGAAAGGGAGAGAGACAGAAATATCAATGATGAGAGAGAATCAGTGATTGGCTGCCTCCTGCACACTCCCACTGAGGATCGAATCTGCAACCTGGGCATGTTCCCTTGACTGGAATCGAACCCCAGGCCCTTCTGTCCACAAGCTGATGCTCTATCCACCGAGCCAAACCGGTCAGGGCATCAATAAGTTTCTATGCATTGCCATGTTTTTAATACTAGATAAAATAGATGCAACACAATTTGTATCAAGAAAATGTGAAATAAAACCATATATATATATAGTAAAACATATATATATGTATACACACACACACACACACACACACACACACATATATATATATATATATATATATATATATATATATATATATATATAATTTCTTTTTAAAATATCTCTTAAGTAGCCTAGAAGTTACTGGAGCTGAACAAGGTATCTGAACAATGTTTTTTATTGAGATGTTGACTTCTCACTTCCTCCAGAGTCCAGAGGAAAAACCATTGTGAAATTATGCCTTTAAAAACTTCTCTCCAGCTGTTTTAACATAAAGACTGTAAAAGGCATGCATTTCTTTTAAACTTAAAAGTTCTTTTAAGCTTAAATTCTTCATTTCATGTCTCTCCTTTTAAATAAGTAATGTGTCACTTCCCAAATGCTGGAAGTAACATATTGTGTCTTTTTATTCAGAAAATATACCCAGATATGGGGGGGTGAGAATTTACAATTTTTTTTAAATATTTTTTTTTATTAATTCCAGAGAGGGATGGAGAGGAAGAGAGAGAAATAGACATCAATGAGGAGAATCAGTGATGGGCTGCCCCCTGCATGGCCCTGACAGGAATTGAACCTGGGATTCTTCAGTCTGCAGGCTGATGCTCTATCCACTGACCCAAATTGGCTAGGGCTACACTTTTTTTTTTAATTAAGAAATCTTCCCACTGGGAGGAACTTGGTAGAAGATGAAGGATTCCAAATAAATTCAGAACTATTTTAAGACAAGTTTTAAATAACTACGGTGAAAAAATGTATATATTTTATATGCATTCAAACACGAGATGGTCTTTCCTCCCCTTCTCTGTCCTGCCCCAGGACAGAGTACTAAAATACTCAATCATCTGCATAAAAACCCCCACCTCTAAACCTTTAGGAGAAAACGGCAATTAATTTATCCTACCAAAGGATGTGGAAAAGTGGATTTACAATATTATAAATACAAGCATTTGATTCCCAGTCTCTGTATTGCAGATTTTTCCAACAGAAAGCCCATAGGGCCCAGCGTTTAATTACTTTGGCTAACGCTATATGCAGTAATTCTGTGGTGAATGCTCAAGTGTTTCATTTCTGGTTTCCATGGCAACATTACATCAGATTGCAGACAGCTGGCTCCACGGTTTTAAACCATAACAAAGTGACCAAGCCAAAGCACAGAGCTATAGCCGCTTTAAAGAGATAGTACACCGCTGTCTGCCAGGGTGCTGAATGAGGAACGCAGGGGGGCCCTTTGGCTCGCAGAGGTGGGTGGAGCCTCCTTCCAGCTCCGCTCCTTTTGGAACATGTGCGTCCTTGACACATCTGCAATGTTCTAATAGGAAAGACACGGAGCCAGCGTGGAGGACTTTTTATGACACAGCTACATTAAAAATGATCGGGGGGGGGGGGGACACAATTAACAGCATCTGTTGATACAAACATTTGTGCACTGGTGCAAACTCATAGTGTTTGAGCCCGTCACTGCAGGTCGGTAAACAGATACTTCACTGGACCCTGTGACTACAATTCTTGCAAATCTGAGGAAACCAACAAATGCTTTCCGAAAGCTGCATGGCACAGCAGTC